GTGCTTTAAATAAACTTTTACTGCTGCTTTTTCTTCAATATTGGGGATAGGTGGATGTATGCAGCATATGTGTAGGATGTCCAGTTTTATTTTATTTTGTGGAGTGTGTTCTCTTCTGTTTTTGTCATTGGTTTGTGCTTTGTTTCATGATATGAAATGATTGAATGTCTTGTGGGGAGTTGCGTTGGGTGGGGAGGGGGTTTGGCTGCGGGAGTTTTGGTTGTGCCTTGTGAACGCTGAAAAGCGGCAAATAAAGTTTTCTGTTCATTCATTCAACAGACTAATCTTTTGCGTGAAAAGTCTATTACGCAAATTCAATTATTATACGGATTGAAATTTTTACTTTTTTACCATTAATTTTAAACTAACAGAAGTCTGTTCTGCGGATTTAGTCCATTGCACTGGAGGGAAAACCACCTATGTAGAGGTGGTAAAATCCATTGTGTGGGGGTTGACTGTAATCCCTTCTTGAAATTCTCAAAATTTCACTTGCCATTTGCATCACATACTTTGCCCTGTATAAAAAAATTGTTTCTGTGCTATAACAAAAGAAATAAAAATTATTCTTGCGCTTGTGTTTGGATGCTAATATTTTAGGAATCTTCAGAGAATGAACTTTTTCTAAATTTAGCTTACATTACATCATATCTTGAAAAATATACTATATCTACTTTAGAGATAAGCACGCAATACAGTATTGATGAAGACACATATACACACCAGGCTTTTTCAAGCAAATTTTTGATAGAATTGTATCCCTGAGTAAATTGTGCACCCGATTTTTTGTGACTTTAAAATTGTAAAACCATATAAAACTCCATGACAAAACATCTATAACAATTATTTTCATCATAGAACACATTTCATTTTTTCTTGGTCATCCTGCAAGCTCCTCCACCATTAAAAAAATCTTCTAACAAGCTTTTCTCAGGCTGTAATCTCAGAATAACAAAGTGTTGGCCAAGATTCTCTGCCTAGTGCATAAGGAATATTTGATAAATTGCAGAATACAGTATTTGAAAAAATTGAATTATACAGGTGCAATATTTCAAAATTTTCAAAGAATAAGCAATCACTTTTTGTAAAGATTATTTTGTGTTGAGGAAGCACAACCAGACGTATTTATTGGAAATTCGTCAGTTTTATTTGAAAATTTATGCTTTTCATTCAATTAAGAAGCATGTTAGAAAGAATTATCCTCCAATTGAAAGAACAGGCATGAATTCAGAAGAAAGTGTTTCTCCCACACGTGCTTTTTCTTCTTTTTTATTTTTTAAAGACAAATTGCAATTTAAAGGTCTTGAAAGGCACTTCACAGTAAATTACTTACCCATTTCCAACAAAATTGCAGTGCAACGTGGATTTTAATGCATCGCTTTTTTTTGTTCTGTAGGATTTTTAAAAGGGTCCCTGAGAGTGTGTGTTCACGAGATTTTAATGCATTTCACAAAAAAAAAAGAACCCGTTTACGCATAGTACACGCAAGGGTTTCAATTTTTCGCGGCTTCCTTGACTTTTGAGTTTTTACAACTGATCTATGTTTTTAATGAACAGAGAACAGTTTCAACTGTGTTCTTTGGAGTGTTTCCGGCATTATGCATGGCAGTGACTGCGAATTTGGTGGGATCATATCTTGCTTACGGCCTTTCTGAAGCTTTCCTGGTTGATTACATTCAGTCTGCATTTCCGGACAGAGTCGCATATTTGATGTCACTGATGATGACGCCGGGGTTCACGTTGACGTTCGCTAGTTTTGCATCCCCGGCCATCGGTGTGCCAATTGACACCTTTTTGGCAGCATCTGCGATCGGTGAGAGTTCACTTATTTATTTGTTATTTGACCGACGCGATTGAAAAATGATTTTTCGACCGCTTTGATGACGGAAGTCGAGGAGAAAAAAAATACACTTCGCGCATTCATATCAATTACTATTGCAGATGTGGGTTTTCCTCGATGATTCCGGAAGGTCCTCAGAATTCTGAGAACCCCTGATAAAGAAAAGAAATCAAATTCTTCAATAATATTTCAAAATCATTGCATTATAGTTTTGGACGCGATATGATCGTAAAATTACGATAATTCCATCGAAAAAGTTCAAGGACTACATTTCAGATGCGTTTGCTGCATGTAAGCGCAATTCCGAATCTTTCATCGTAAACAGTAAATCAGTGAAATGTGTTTTCAATCTTGTGAATAAGAGCTAAGTTGTTTAGAAAAAATGAAACCGAAAAAAATATGCGTGTACAATACTGTTTTAAGGATCTTCATATAAGGTGAAGTATTTTTATTATTTTTGTATAAGTAAATTATCGATCAAAACTTTCTGGTTCGTAGGATATAGACGCGAAAATGAATAAACCGTGGCAAAATGTCAACTCCGTTCTTTTTACATTTTGTTAAGATTTTATCGGAACCTTGTAATTTTCGAGGCAAACGCAAAATAGTCACCTGTTATTCTTGCTGAATAAATGACTTCCATTTCAACTTTTCGCGGCGACGAATTTGCATCGATATTTTATCGCCTTCCTCGCACTTTAAACTCAAGTCGTTCGGAAGTTTGCGACGAAATAAACATCATGGTAATGACAGATTTATCCAACAAGAATCTTTCGCTACTAAACATCTGCTTCTCCCGAGAGATTCTAATCTTTCATCAGATTTTCCCCCTGATTGATTCTCTCGCAGAGTCAAAACAACCGCTGGCCTTTTTGGTGCTAATTACCGAAGCTGATTAGGCTTGTCCTGTTTTTTTTTTGCCTCGCCTTATTCGCTCATTGTTTTTATCATTTTCTTTATTTTTCAGGGACTCTCCCGAGTGTTATTTCTGCTTGTTTGGCCGGAAACGTGCTCAGAACGATCGAGAAGCCAGATTTCTTCTCGTTCATCAACTTTTTGCAGATGTTTTGCGTGGCTATTCTGGCGTTGTTGCCGAAATTGACGGATTTCTACTTGACTCGGTCGCATCCGGACACGACGGTCTTGTACCGACCGCGAGCGTCTTACAAAGTCAAGTGAATCTAACAAAAGGTAGAAGAGAAGAATTTTTAAGCATTTCATTCCATGAAGAGTCTGTCACCAGAAACAAAGAAGGGGTTTCAGCAGAAGATAATTAGGGAAATACAGGAATTATACATGCGATACTCTGTATGATTTTATTCACAGAACACTTTTCAATGCTGCTCAATGTTGCTTGGCCGTGACCATCTGCAATATGAATCCCAATCAAATCGTTTTCAGTCACCCCCCTCCCCGCGAATAAAAAGGGTATAAGCTAATATCGATCTCTGAAAAAATACTGTATTTTGTCCCTGATAATTGCAATAAAGTATTCATTCAAAGTTCCAAACCTCTTTAAGTCAAATTTCAAGGGAACAGCCAAAAAACTTTACTTTGGGAGATTTTGCATTGGAGAAATAAGCATTTTTGTTTCATGGAAGCATATAAGAATTGCAGGAAACTGTAATTGAGCATATTCTGAGCCTTAACTTGCTTCTGACAAGACAAGATTACAGCATGCTGACGTTGGAGGCAGGGGTTCATTGGCCCAATTTAATTTTTCATATTCTTCAAAAGATGCGCATCAAATTCTGTTTTTATTGCTCTTTTTCTTCCTGCATCAAGAAAATAATAGCCAGAAGTCCTCAGAAAATTTGACTCACGGAGGTTTGAGAGAAAGAGACTTTGAGTTAGGGAGGTTTTTTGAGCACTGTTTCAAAGGAAATCCAGATGGGGACTTGGAGTTCTTTGACTTATGGAGGTTTGACTTATTGAGATTCAATTGTAGCATGCACAAGATATTTCAAATGCAATTTGCAACTAAATTCCCGCTTTGGTCATACCCTGAAAATCATGTCCACTTTTTCA